TTTTAAAAATAGTTTTTTGGTGTTTTCTTATGAAAAATAACAATTTAAATGATTTTGTGAAGAAAATTTTTCAAAAACTTCAAAATCTTTCGAGATATAGGGGGTATGTGCTCTCCATCGATTTGGCCATTTGTCACCCTACTTAAACCACTATAACTTTTTTTTGAAAAAATATTTTTTAATTCTGTTTTCGGATTATTGTAGCCTAATGTAATACCTATCCAACGATATATAATACTTGCTAGTTAACTTAGTCCTGGTTATTTATAGGGCTGTTGATTGTGACATACGCAGTTTTTGAAAAATTCCCAAAAATTGCATTTTCAAAAATACCACTTTTAAGCAATCTCGAGTATTTTTTGGACTTTTTTAAGAAATGTTAAGTCTGAAAAAAGCTATTATCATTAGAGTAATAAAAAAAATACTCTGATACGCAACTATAATAGGTAAAATTAATAAAGTTTAATTTTTAGTTTAATGAAATTTTGTTTATTTGTCAAGAAATTTAATTTACATTTTTTTATCATATTTAATGAAATTTATTTATTCATTCGTTGTTTGCTTCTTCAGAATATTCATGGTCTTGTCCTTCGGAATAATCATAGTTTTCTGCTTGGGAAAAGTCATAACCTTCTCCTTCTGGCTCAATCAATTCAATTTCTTCCTCATCTTTTTCCTCATTTTCTGTTTGTTGCTCAGGTGTTTCACCTTCTTCTTGGACATTTTTTCTCATTAACCTTTTATTTATTACATCCATATATTTTTTTATTATTACTGGATCAGAACTGTAGAGTCTTCTATGTATAACATCCGTAAAACTGTGTATTCTTGAAGTTTTTCTGGCACGTAGTTCTCTATCTTGTCTGAGATATTTGTTTTGTGACTCCCCGGCTTCTTCACTCATTCTTCCTAGAGGTAATGGTAAGGCTTCCATGTAGTGTTTTGCATGAGCAAGTGCTCTGTGAAGTGTTACTGGTATTTTGAACCAACTATATGTTGTCAAAAACATTCTGTATGTTTCTTTACAGTACCTATCAAATTCATCTAGATCATCAACTGGTTCTAAACTTCGAATTTGGTTTAGCACATAGCATATACGTTTAATTATTTCTTCATTAAGATATAGAGTTTTAGCTAGAAGCTCTGGATTTTCAAGAACTTTTCTTGCAACGTTTCCTGTATCTGATGATCCAGCTCCCCCTTGTCTTGGTTCGAGTACACGAACATTAAATGCATCCCACATTGCTTGCTTTATTCTAGCCTTTTCAACATCTAAAACAATCTGTTCCTCTTCAGTTATCTCCAGCCAGTGTTTTTGAACATATTGTTTATATGACAAATCATATAGAGTCGTGAGTACGTTCATTGATGTATGAAGTGGCTGAGTGTTGAAATACAAGTGTTCTTTAACAAATTTTCTGTGTGTTTTTTCGAATCTTCCATTATCAAGATTATTTATGTCACTCATCTCGTTTGGTCCAGATCTACAAAGCTGACATCTGCAATATCCTGATGTTTCTGTAAGGTCTGTGTAAACTTTTCCATCTAACATTGTGGGGTAGAATTTGTACGTAATTTCCAAAAGCATGTCTTCACATATGAATCTCTGTGGTTCAAGTTTTGATATTTGATTTTTTATATCTTCATATATCCTTCTAACATTTACTCTGGTTTCTTTGGCATGTTCAAGTTGTATTGGTCGTACTGAGTATACAGATTGACTGTTTTCGTTGTCCCATAAGCAGATATAATTTCCGTTTTCGTCTTCATGTCGTAGTTGCTGAACACTCATACTAACTGTCAATAGTGATTTGTCTTCTATAATTTCATTATTAGTCGTTTGATTCGGTTGTGTTCTATCTCGTTCTTGATTTCTTGAATTTGTTTTTCCTTGGTTATACTGTGACTGTCCTGTTGTTCCGTCCATCCCCCATGTGACGATCATTTCTGCATGAATAACTTTTGGAGTTGATTCTGAAGGTAATATTTTGATTTTGTCTTATATTTCTGAATTGTGTGCTTCAATAACTCTTTTTGTGGTGAGTTGTGTCAAATTTTTTAGTGGAATAACGGCTCTTGTATCGGTGACCGTTATGTCATCAGGATAGCATTGTTTCTCTAACCTCAACAATTTTTTAGCTGTCGGTAAAACGTTTTCGCATTCCAGTTTCAGGACTTGTCGAATATTGTTGTACTGATTTCGAGATAAATTGTTAAAGGCTTTTACACCTAGAGCTACATGTATATCTAGTTGTTTAGGTTTTGATGTAGTTTTTTCTGGAAGATCCTCTCCTTTTTGGCACGCCTTAATAAATTCTTTTAACATTTTAGCTCCTTCTACTTTTCCTTCTTCTTTAGAAAGGCGAAGTGCCAAGTGAAGAACTGATAACAATGATCCTTTTGCTTCTTTTAAACTGATATCTAATTCGTCCACTTCTACGTCGATGCTTATCGCTTGTTAGTTGTTCAAATGATTTCCTCTTGATGCCCTTGCTGGATGAAGGCTCTATGTCATGGACGATGTATTCAATCTCATCCATATCTTCATCTGTGTCAGTAACATTTTCTGCTTCATATATAGATTCTTCCTCAAAAAGAATCCCTCCACTAGATTCGCTGAAGTATCGTGAGTCAACTTCAAATTCCTCTTCATAGAAATCTGCATGATCTCTTAATGCATTATTCCAATTTGACTGATTACAAAACATTTTTGACTTTGACTTCAGCTTGTTTAATTTATTAATTAAACTTGGTTTCTGTGATTCCGCTAATTCTCTCCCATGAATTTCTTCTATTACTGCCAAACAGTACGTGTGCTGTGTTGCAAGATTTAACGTTTTGTCGCGAAGAATTTCACAGAGTGTTTTCTTCGTAAGTGTTGAATTTTGGTTCATTTTTGAAAGTGACTTGTTCAATGAAGTTCAAAACTGATATGATGTGTAGAGAGAATTTCACGAGTATATATATAAAATAGTTTCAAAACTGAGATTTTCACACCTGATAGTGACTACCAAGGGTACTTTACAAAGTTGTTAACTAGGGAAGTAAAAAGTTTCTAAATTTAATTTTTTGGCTTTATAATCTCATAAATGTCATAAATAAACATAAAAAAGTTCTAAAAAAATACTCGAGATTGCTTAAAAGTGGTATTTTTGAAAATGCAATTTTTGGGAATTTTTCAAAAACTGCGTATGTCACAATCAACAGCCCTATAAATAACCAGGACTAAGTTAACTAGCAAGTATTATATATCGTTGGATAGGTATTACATTAGGCTACAATAATCCGAAAACAGAATTAAAAAATATTTTTTCAAAAAAAAGTTATAGTGGTTTAAGTAGGGTGACAAATGGCCAAATCGATGGAGAGCACATACCCCCTATATCTCGAAAGATTTTGAAGTTTTTGAAAAATTTTCTTCACAAAATCATTTAAATTGTTATTTTTCATAAGAAAACACCAAAAAACTATTTTTAAAACTATGTTTTCGTATTTTCAAAAGAATTATTAGTTTTTGGCCAAATACTCAACGACCTACTAAAATCAACATAACTCAATTACGTTAGCTTACTTTTTCAAAGTTTATACAGTTTTGAAAACTAGATATATGGGGCTACAAAACTGCGTTTTTACTTGCCTGGAAACTCTTCATTTATGATAGTTGCGGCTTGTTTGAAGATAATTTTCCTGAAATTTTCACATATGTTCTACCATAATGGCACGAAAACATTCAGAACCTAAACTTTGTTATATGTCAAAATAAAGCTCTTATATACTACTAATAGGAACTGAAAACCGTTTTGCAATATCTTAAACCAGTTAAGATATTTCCCGGTTCAAACATGGTATGAAAAAACCAGAATTTTCACTAGTTTTCAACTTCAAACAGCTCTAGAATCGCGAAATCAGCACCAAATGACCTGAAATTTGGCATTTCTATCTACTTTTATGTCCTCTACAAGAAAAAATCACCCAAAAAGTGTAAATCGGAAAAGTCCATTTTTCAAAGTGAAAGTCCCTTTTTTTTTCATTTTGCCCCATAGTGTTACGTCAAGTTACATTGGCATTTACATCAAAAATATTTCACTCGAACATATTTAAAATTCTGAAGCAGTGCTGATTATTACACATGTCTACACAATTATTGAAATAAAACACGTGTTTTCGCCAACTCATTAATTTATGTTAATGCTATTCAATTCAGCTCTTCTTCTTCTTCTTCTTCTTTTGTGCCATTTCTCTTTCATTTTATTCATTCATATGCAGCACTGAATTCAGACAATTTTAATTGAGTTATAAAACAATTTTCTCAGTCTACAAACATATTATTTCTTTGTTGATCATAAGAGAATCTAAATTGAGCTTAAGACTATTAAGAGTAAGTAGAGCAAATGTATCATCAATTGTAGAAAATTGAGAAACTTTCCATTTTCATCTTAAAGTTTTTTTTTGTTTTGAGAGATGAGAAAATTGTTGAGTTTGTTGCTGTTCGTTGGCTTTTCTGAGCATAATTCTGAAGATTATGTTGTATTGAATTTTGATGACTTCCAATTCTGTTCGGATGTTTAACTTGGTAAGAAGCTAATGGGGTTTTGTGCTTTAAAACTTTTTTGTGTTAAAAAAGTCGCAGTTCAGTTGAGAACCATTAAAAGTTTGAATTTTTGAGAATCGTTAAAAATGTCAATTCTTCAAAAAAGTTATACAACTTACTACAAAATTGTTACTTTATTAAACTTACTCTCCATTTCAACCTCTCCGGGAAATAAAACCAATTACAATTACTTAATTCATAACATTATTACTGACCACACTCCACATATTAACCGTAATTGAGAAAAAAAAACTCCCATCTCACTGCAACGATAAAATCTCAATTAATCGTGTGCTGCTCCACGCACTACTTTCCTGCTCAACAAGTTTATTTTAAAACGATTTTAATTTTAACTCAATCAACGTGATAATTTTATTTCCTGTCATACATTTTATTTTTATTACAACAGATTATATTATCATCACAGCTGCTGGCTGTATTAATTACAATAATTCAATGTGATGCAAGATCGACACGCGTAACAGCTCAATATACAGTCGCCGATGATACCGATAACACGCAGAGAACGTTTCGTGGCAAAGGAATTGTTGAGGATGCATCGTTTGATGATGGAATATTGACGAAATATAATTCGAGGCCTTCCAGGGTAAGATGAAGTTTTTTGGGGTTAAGGGTTGCTTAAGTATGTTTTCAAAGACATATAATGGGATGTCTCTGTGTCTAGTTTGGATATGCACGTGACCAGGGTCCTAAAGTTGGGACTGAAATGTTCTCGAACTCCATCATAAAATTTTGACAACAAAAATGATTTTAAATGACATAAACTATGAATGAGGAGCTTCTTCCGACACTGAATACCATATGGGATTTGATCCATGAGTCTGGACAAACCTAAACACATAATAAGTCAGCTTGGGTTCTTTACAAATTTTGTGGAACACTTTAGTATTGAGGTTGACACCTAGAAGACTTAATGAGAACTTTTAAGAAGAATTATGAAAATTCTGATGACATTTTTGATTAATTCGTCTTCAAGCTTCAACATTATCGACAAATACCATTCGATCTATTGATTCACAATCTTAAAGGCTCAATAAAGCTGGTTCAGCTATTAAAAATCACAATTTTTTTGTTATTCACAGTCATATTACCGCACGAGTGCCTTTAAACCAATAAAATACGTAACTTGGGTAAATTTTGTGACCTTTCATCAGAATTTCTTTGAACTTTTATTTTAATTCTTTTAATTTTAATACTGAACCTCCTCTTTAATCTTCTAACCTAAGTCTATTATCTTATTAACCCATAAATTAATCAAAAATTCATCAACGTAACACGGGTTTGAATTTATTGAGTAACGCATAATATCAAGCCGTCAATATTGTCAACCTTTCCTACCTCAAAAAGGTCAACTTCCTCTTTAGCATTATTGACCTTTTCAATTTTCTCTCTTCCTGTTTGCCTTTGCAATTCGCAATTCACTGAATCTGTCATTCATTCTTTTATATTATTTCATCCTTTTCTCTATAGAATCCACCATCCAGAGGAACTAAGAAGAAAGTTCATCACCCACCAAGTTCAGACTATGAACAGATAAGCTTCCATCCCGATAACGTTCCAGAAATCTTTGCTGTTAAAGGAAAAGTCATCGATGGTGACATAACAGTTCCAACAAGATCATCATACAAGTCATATCCAACACAACAACGTGTTAAGAATGTTGGAAAGGCAAAGGTTCAGTCAGTTTCGTTACAACAACAATTTCGCTTTCCATCAATTAAGAATGAAGAAATATTTGAGACAAAGTTACAAGAAGCACCGACGACACTCCATTCGAAAAAGTTTAGACCTGAAACAGCTGAAAGACCAATTTACAGCTACAGTACGATTAAATTCAACGGCGATGAGAATCGTGAGGAAGAAGTTTTCCCAAAGACGCTTAAAGGAAAACCCCCAAAGCGATCAACAGCTACTTTCAATCTTGAACAAAACTTTGGTGCACAGCAAACAAAATTCGACACAATCATTGACCACAGCAATGTACAATTTGATTCCAGTGGCTTTCAACCATCAACACAATTCCAATTTCCGACAACAACGAAAACAACAACAAGAAAACACAAAACACATCCTCCAAAGCAGCTTTTCAAATCCCCAGAAGATGAATTTAAAGATTCTGAATTCTATGACTTTTCCATTCGTCCTCGTCCAGGTCAACAACCGACATCCGGAAAGTATGAAAAATTCTCAACTGATTTGGGTGTAAAATCATTAGCAATAAAGCCACATAAAAATAAATTTGATCCACCACAAGTCCACAATGGAGGATTTAAGCCATCATACAAGCTCAAGGACATTACAAATCTTCACAGTGGTGACATTGGACAAGGAGTCGCATCGCCAGGACAAATAAAGACATTTTACGATGCAGTTGATTCAGAGCGTGACGAACGTTATGCATTAAAGCTCTCAAGTGATCCAAGTCCAACATCTAAAGCACAACTTGCACAATTCCTAAGGGCAAAGGAGGATGAGAGACTTGAGAAGCTCGTGGAAGAGCAATTTAAATTGCATCAACAAAAGCAGCTTCAGCATGAGAAGGAAGCAGAATTGAAACATCAGCAATTGTTGTTGCAAAGACAAAAGGAGAAAATAAAGCATGTCGAGAAGAATTTAAACAATAAAGTCAATCAACGTCCAAAGCGACGACCAAACCAGCAATCAAATTATTCAAGACGTCAACAGAGAAACCCATCACAAGTTGGATTTAGTGTAACAGGTGGCGGTAAGGCTGCAGTGCCCATGAGAACAGTTAAAGGAAAGGATGGAAGTTATCGTGTGAGCTTTAGCATCTAAGAAGAATTGTAAGGAAGGATAAAGTTTTCGAGAAGAACTTTTTGATTATTATTAATATTGTTATTTCTTATCGTTACTTGTTGTTTTGTATTTGATTACTCTATGTATTCATGTGCATAATATGGATATATTTTTCTGTATTTCTACGTGACTTGGATATTTTGTATGAGACAGAGTTGTTGACTTATAGACTTGTTGTAAGGTTTCAAAAATGGATTTGGTTCCTCTCATCCTTGAGATTTGAGATCATTTAAACTCAACTCCCAACTCTGTAATGCAATTGTAATGAAATTTCGTGTTTTCATTCTGAATTAACGAATATCATGAATATCCAAGAATGATTCTGAAATCAGGTAATGAAGCATAAAAAAACTTTTTCATTTCTTCCACTTGAAGATGACTTTTCTACTAGAATTAAGGTTGAATGATCAAAAAGAAAAAAAAGGTTTCTTTTTTGAGAATAAGAATAAAAATTTGATATTTATTGTGATAGACGTAAGATTTGAATATAAAATTAGGCGCTAAATGAATTGAATTATTTTTGATTTTATTGATTCAATATGTTGTGAAATTTGAGGATAAATTTGAAAAGCAGGGAAATTTAAGAAAAAAAAAATATTTAAAATTTTGCAAAGTTAAGAACAAAATTAATTTATAAAAAAAATTCCTAAATTTAAATAATTTCTGCATGAAAGTTAAGTTGTAATTTTTTGTTTGCCTTTAAAGTGAATAAAGTAATACTCAAAAATACTGAATAAAGTTTATCTTCTTTCCCCACCATTCAAGGATGCAAAAGCAGCAAAGCCAGTGACGTTGTTTTTTATATTATCGACGAATGATGTTTTGAATTATTAAGGATGGAAGCAATGGAACACAAAACACGCATTGGTTAAGCTGAGCTCGTCCTCAACTTGAGTTGTTGTTTTTTTTTTTACAAAACTCCCTTCACCTTACATCTTTGAACTCCTAAATTTTATGATTCACGATTATTGTGTACAGTAAGCAGGAGCATTGTCAGAACTTTATCTACGGGAGAGGAGAGGGGAGGGGGGGGGGGGGGGTTTGAATGTATTTTATAAACATTAAAATTGGCCGGGCAGTCAAGAAACCCTTGCGAATTGAAGAAGTTTTTCCAAGAGAAGGGAGGGTTCACCCCAAAAACCCCTCTGGCTACGCCCCTGGCAGTTAAACTCCTTTAGATCATTTAGGTTTCATCACTGCTAAGCCTGTTTACCTTATGATGCTTTCATTGTACATGTTGATTTCGGGAATGGTTGGCTGTAACCTCACGATTCCTAGCCTGAATGTGGGGCTGCCACGCAACAGGCGAGGTTTTTTGGATTAGATTTTAATCTATCCTTTAAAGTACTTATTCCGGCACAGGGTTCAGTCGCCAGCGGTGCATTTAACAGTTTCAAGGGATACCACGAGAAGTTATGCACTTGACATTTGGCCAGCTTCGGAGTGAGACTTCGGCTTTCCTAATCACTCACTGCTAAGCCATCACTTATAAATGTATAAAAACAAAATTATTCTAAAAATTAACGAATTGTTTTATTGGTTTGAAAATATGTTTTGTAATTGATTCGTTTTTATAATGATTGAAGTTGTGTTGAAATTAATTAAGGGTTTATAAAACAAACAAATTAAGCATCATCCTCCTTTACTTTTGCCAAAAGTGCATCACATGTTTTCTTTGCATCTCCAAGTAACATAGCTGTGTTTGGCTTGTAGAAAATTGGGTTGTCTACTGCTGCATAACCGACACCGAGTGATCTCTTCATGACAACGACTTGATCGGCATTCCATACTTTTAAGACTGGCATACCTGGAATTTAAAATATAATTTAGCTATTTGTGTCTATTAATTAAATTATTTTGACAATTTTACCGGCAATAATTGAGTTGGGATCATCTTCAGCTGCTGAGTTGACTGTGTCGTTAGCTCCAATAACCAAGACCAAATCTGTTTCACCGAAATCATCATTAATTTCCTCCATTTCAAGTACATCATCATAACTGACTCCAGCTTCTGCCAACAATACATTCAATTGACCAGGCATACGTCCAGCAACTGGATGAATACCGAATCGAACTTTCTTTCCGCGTGCCTTTAAGATTGAAACTAATTCAGCAATTGGATATTGAGCCTTAGCGACGCACAATCCATAACCAGGGGTAATGATGATATTCTTGGCATTTTTCATCATTTCAACAGTTCCATCAACATTTGTTTCTGTGTGTGTTCCGACGATTTCAGCTGGCTTACCACCTCCAGTGGATGATGTTCCGAATCCTGAGATTTTTTTGAGTAAAAAATGATAGTTCCAGCCTTAATTTATTTTAATAGCATTGAACTTACCACCAAGAATGACATTTGGAAGTGAACGATTCATAGCTTTGCACATGATATAAGATAGAATGGCACCAGAGCTACCAATAAGAGCACCAACGACTGTCATCAAATTGTTGTTAAGCATAAAGCCTTCAGCACACAATGCCCATCCTGAATATGAATTCAAGACTGTGATAACGACAGGCATATCAGCGCCTCCAATAGCTGCAGTTAAAGTGACTCCCATCACTGTTGACATAGCTGCTGTAGCTCCGAGCCATGAAAGACCACCAAGCATTGTTGGATCCATAAAGAATGCAGCCATAGCTCCGACATTACCGGCAAGTAAACCTCCATTAATGTAGTGACGACCTGTTTTATGGATGAAGATTTAACATTAGAATTTAGATAATTTTTAAAGAGTCTAGTGACTTACCAGGAAGTAATAATGGAGCAGAGTTCAAAACACCCTGTAATTTTCCATAAGCAACAAGTGATCCTGAGAATGTAACACCACCAATGTATGTACCAAGGAAAAGTGCTGTTCTAAGGACATTTGCAGCTGGATCAGTTGCAAGAGTCGGGAAATCGTGCATATAAGTAGAAACGCATGTCAAAACGGCAGCAAGACCGACAAGTGAATGGAATCCAGCAACCAATTGTGGTAAATCTGTGATTTGAATTCGCTTTGCGATAACTGTTCCGATAAGACCTCCGATACCGGCACATCCTGCCATCTGAGCCAATACTTCGGGAGTTGGAGATAAGATTCCAAGAGTTGCGGCAATACCTCCAGTAACACCAATCTACAGGGATGATAAAATAATTTATTTGAAGATTTTAAGGTTTAATTTCAATTCTTACCATTCCCAAAGTATTTCCAATGCGTGCTGTCTTCTGACTGGACAATCCACTAAGGGCACCAACACAACATAATGAGGCAGCAAGGTAAGCGATTTGATTGACTTCTGAAAGTCCATTAAGTGCAGCCCATCCATATCCTCCAAGGAAAGTTGCAGCTGGAATTCCATACAAGTAGCTGTATTCTGGTGGATCAGTAGGACGTTTGAACATATCCAACATTCTTTGTGTGACTAAGAAGCCACCGAAAATGTTGACGAATGAAATAAGAGCAGCACCAGCAGCAAGGTATTCAATTGAATTGGTTGGGAAATATCCACCACCCATTAATAAAAGTCCACCAACAGCTGTGATTCCAGAAATAGCATTTGTACATGACATTAAAGGTGAATGTAAGGCGGGAATGACACCCCAGACTGTGTGATATCCAACAATTCCTGATAATGCAAAAGTCGACATCATTGTTGTAAATGCTGGATTTGGTGAAACAGCTCCAAGTGCAATTAATGTACCAAGTCCGGTTGTGTATGTTAATGAGCTCGTCATTGTGTCTCTAAATGGATTAGCTACTGCTGCTTTAACAATAGCTTGACCAGCTTTCTTATCAGCACCAGGTTGTGGTTGAGCAGATACTGCAATGACCGGTGGTGGCCATGTAACTTCGCCATTATGTGCTACAATACTTCCACGAACGACATCATCCTTCATGTTAATATCAAAATGATCTTTTTCGCCCATTGAAAGGAGGAGTTTTGAGATATTATTGGCATATAAAGTTGAGGCTTGTGTTGGTAGACGTGATGGAAGATCAGTTAATCCAATATGTACAACGCCATACTTTGTGACGATTTTGCCAGGCTCAATTGTTTCAATGTTACCGCCAGCTTCTGCTGCCAAATCAACAACAACGCTTCCTGGTTTCATTGACTTAATGTGTTCCTCTTTAATAAGTATTGGAGCTTTTTTACCGGGTATAAGTGCAGTTGTGATGATAACATCAACTTCCTTACATTGTTTAGCAAAAAGTGCCATTTCAGCATCAATAAATGCTTGACTCATTTCCTTTGAATAACCACCCGCTGTAGATCCTTCTTCTTGAATATTGACTGTTAAGAATTCTGCGCCCATAGATTCGACTTGTTCCTTGGCAGCTGATCGAGTATCAAAACCACGAACAATAGCACCCATATTTTTAGCTTGTCCACAAGCTGCAAGACCAGCAACACCGCAACCGATGACTAAAATCTTTGCAGGTGGGACCTTTCCAGCAGCTGTAATTTGTCCAGTAAAGAATCTTGGGAAGTAATTTGCGGCTTCAATGACTGCACGATAACCAGCAATATTTGCCATTGAGCTGAGCGCATCAAAGACTTGAGCACGTGAAATACGAGGAACACAATCCATAGCAAATGCATTAACCTTCTTCTTCGCTAAGTTATTAAGGAGGTCCTTATTTTGTCCGGGATAAAGGAATGAAATCAAAGTTGAATTTTCTCTCAGCAATTCAATTTCATTTTCCATCGGTTGACGAACTTTAAGAAGAATATCTGAATCCCATGCTTTATTTCCATCAACAATTTTACCGCCAGCATCTGTAAAATCTTGATCTCTGAATTTTGCTTCCTCTCCAGCTCCTTTTTCAATATTCACGGTAAATCCTTTCTTTACTAAAGCAGCTGTGACAGCTGGCGACATAGCGACTCTCTTTTCGTTGACCCATTTTTCCTTTGGCACACCAATTGTTAAATTTTTATATGGAACTCCTTTAATAGCTTCAACAGGTTTTCCATCTTTTGATAATAATTTTACTGATCCAGAGAATAGTCTTGAGGGATGTAAAGTCTGAGGAATTTTCAATAAATGCTCCCCGCTTAATGTACACAATCTAAGAACACCTTGTGACATTTTCCGGGCTTTAAATATACTTCGTCTGCGTTACACTTTGATAAGAATTGAACTAAAATGAAAAAAAGAGAGAAAATGACTTTTTGTTATTCTCAAAAGAGTATGTCTGAAACATAAACAGACGGTTATGTATGTGTTGAACTGAGAGCAAGAGAGAGAAGAGTGTCTAAATTAGTAGGAGTTAAGATTGAGATCACACACTGATGCAGGGGATAAATATGCAGTATGCAGCTATAATTGAATCTACTTCAATTAATTAATCATCTATTGTGACTTAAAAGTGATGAGTTCGACTACCTGCAGTCAAAGATTCTTAACCGAACTCAATCTACAGCACATAAATATAGCAAATACCAATCTGTGATCTTCGTCTATTTTTAAATTGATCTGCAACCGGCGTCAGCAACATTTTTTGAATCTAATGTCTCTTACTTACCAGAAGATGAGTTATCTTATGGATTTAATGATGTCTTTAAATGCAAATTAGTAGTGATGAGGAATAAAATATCAGGAACGACTTCCTGATAAATTTAATTCTTTACTGAACCGCTGCCGAATTCAAACTGACTTGACTATATCTGCCTGTGAGACACATAGGTTTTCAATACATAAACATGAGAGCAAATAGTTTCTAAAGAGAATTCTATTGTTTGTTGTTGTATGAAAAAAGATTGATAACTAATACAGAAATAAGAGTTTATGCAGGTTCGACTATCCTCACGCAGAAATTTTCTTATGTATTTATTGAAATTAATAATATTTATTTTGTTACATAAAAGTTATTTTTTTAAAAATCTACAATGTAGACTGTGCTCAATAATTGAGCTATTGAATCCTTATCAAATGCAAATTACGTCAAATTACACATCATTGAAGCCAGACAAAAAGTTAATTTCAATTAATTCTCATTCCTCATTATCACAGATCCACAATAAGCATTAAAATCCAAAACGATACTCTAATCTTCATGGGGATATTGAAAAGCATTTATTATCGCTTATATCTTAATTCTATTTAAAGCTAATATCGCACACTAGAGATCATCGCATTGATTAATATAAAATATAAAATTTGTTGCTTGGTTGAATTTTGGCAAACAGACGTAAATGAATGGAAAACGAACATTTTACAGCTTGTTGAATATTTTTGGAATCACTTGTATTAACATACATTGATAGACTAGATGAGATGTGATCAGGTGTGATCATCAAAAGCGCATATTGTGGATCTTACAGAGCAAATGATTTTGATTCATTAATTGCTGAGACAGTGTTGCTTTTGGAATCAGTAATTGGCAGACGGTAGCCAGCGATAGAGCTAGTTTTAGAGGACGACTAATGGAGGTCATGGATCACAATCGATCTGTACGACCAGCGAAGTAAGTAATTGCTGTAAAGAATAAGGAATCGAACCTAAGATTTGATTTATCCATGCCGCCACACACAAGCAACTTGATATCAGATCATTCATCGCTAAAATGACATTTTTATTATAATTGCTGACATGACAGTCTGACAGACAGAAACCTCTTTGAGTCTACGCGCTTAAATATTTTTCATTGAGAGTCTTGCAAAAAAAAGAGAGAGTAATTTAGTTTAAGAAGACGTAGAAAAACACATGTTGGAGTTTGAAAATAAATTCTGAAACAGAAAGTACGAGCCAACAACCTGCAGTAGACTGCTGGAATGCAATTCAACTTTATCCTTTTGGTACCCAAGACCAGATGTCCGTAGACTAGTTTTAACTGATTGTCATGAATTATAAATTAGAATATCAGAAAGGCTTACATAATTAATTCTACACAACGCTGAAGACTTAAAAGAAATTATCTCCAATGTCGCAATGCTCCCACGTCTACACACAATTTTTTTCTAAAGTTATATCGGTCATATGAATTCTTGTATTTATTTTACTACAGAAAATTTTATTTTTTTAAATGTGTATATAAATCATTATCACGCTACCTGGATGAAATGCAGAAAAAATTTAATCAAATATACCTCGTGACTGACCTATCTTTAATGAAAATAGATATAAATAACTATTGCAAACTTCTGAATGCAGAAATGTTGAATTCTCTTGCAGATGTAAATTCCTCAATACTCAAATTTATTGTTTACAAACCATTTATAAGACACAAAGGCATGTTAAATCAAAGATTCTTAGAAAAATTCCATATCCTCAAAATGCAGGTCTTATTTCAATGTTATGGAGAAAGTATTTTCTCAAAAGAATACTTTTTTCTACCTCCTGCATACTCTGTTAACTTATAGTTCATGTCAGTGGTGCTCAAACTTTGCTTTGCGATTTAAATAACAATTTTATTAATTTCATGATAGTCTCGAGATTGTTAAATCTGATTTGATCCTGATCTGATCTTCTTAGTGGAAATATTAAATCTGGATTATAAAAATCTGGAGTAAATCCGGTGTTTCAGCTTCCAAGGCAAATGATTTAAAGCATTGATGTCCAAGCTTGTGGGAATCCATAACCAAAATTCATAGCAAAATGTTCGTGTGATGTCCCAAATTTTTTCACGGCACACAGGTTAACCACCACTGATTTAAGGTCAACATTTAAAAATCTGAGTTCGTTCAATAGTAAAAGATCACTGATGCCACTTTGATGCCATTAGGGTTTTAATCCTGGAATTGAAATATATGTGATTCCGGGATTCAGTACATTTTAATCCGGGATTGAAACATCTAGATGCCATGATTGAAGTTGTAGATAGGAGCTGTCAATAGAGCTGCGACATTGTACTTGAGATTGTAAACTGACAATTGGTTGTTGACGATAGAGCCAGGCAAGGGTGTGGTACTGATGAAACGATCAAAAATGATCAAAATTGATCAAAAATCATCAAAATGAAATTCTTCAGTTTCACACCCTTGGAGCTAGGTTTAAGTGCTTACTAAGCAAAGCCATAGATGACAATTGATCTTTATTCCTTGAAAGGTTTGTAAAGTGCAGGACTTTAAGGTTCATGTCTTGTTTCTTAAACTTTATCGTTTAAAAATCTTTGCAACTAAGCTTATTGATTAGGACATTTGGATACCAAAGGTCATTCTCCTGTACAGAATTGTCATATAAGAAAGAATGAAGAATTGCAGCAAGTAGACTTGCTTAAAAATACCCTAAGCATTTTAAGATCACAGATCGACAGTCTACGAAGTGTAGAATTACTAGGGTGACCATCTAATTTTTATGAAAATACAGGACATTTGATAAATTTCCTAAAAAATACAGGACATAAAGGAAAATTTGAAAATTAACGGAAATTTTCGTGAAAAAAATACAGGACCTAGAACAAAATTTTCAAATTTATACAGGACAGGGTTTTGAAATACAGGACTGTCCGTTGTAAAACTACGCAGATGGTCACCCTAAGAATTAGGCACGAGCTTAGTTTCGTAATATTTGTTTACAAGTTGTCTATACTGTGAATCAAGAAAAGTTTGACCACCACTGCTGCATGCGAAAAAAACACAAAATAAATTGCTAGCAATTTGTAAAGAAATGAGAGAAAAATGTGAGTATATTGAGATAATTTGAAGTTATTCCATACACAAAATTTGTATTTCTATTCACATTAGTAAGTGCTCAGCGTTCGATTGATAAAGGCAGCTTTTTATTTGTATTCATGAATATTATTTTCAAGTTTTGGTTTAAATCATTGAAACTAGCTTTTGGATTTATTAAAATTAGCAAAAACTGCTTAAACATCAATTGTCATCAGTCTTGTTATGATCTCAAAATATCAAGTAAAGTCAAATTTCAATAATATTTACTACCGGCATAGCAAGCTATAGTTGTATGAGTGAGAGTACGTTTAAGTGAGAGACCAAAAAAAAAAAACAAATATTCACGAGACCTTCAAAATAAATGAGATAAAGAAAGAAAGACTGTAAAATATATCAAAAAGGAACTGCGTGCGTAGATTGTTTAATCATATTTTTTTTTCATTCTTAAAATAACTTTTAATGTTTTCTTTTTCTCCATGCTATGTCGTTTAACTCGTTCTTCCATCTCTTATGATGTAGAGTCGCTCTACAATCATATGTGACATTATTGATACTACTCGAAATTCCGGCAAATACAGCTGCTGACGTTTTATATACTTTTTAAAGAAAACTCCACATCACTCATTCATTGATTACGTCCACATGCTTGATAATACTAGTAAATTTTGTTTTCTTATCAGTAGCAATTGAGTTATGAGGATTATATAATTTGCTGTACAGCGAATAACACTCGTGATATCAAGCTTACTCTTAAAACCTTACTTTAGTTAAGCCTTATTTAATCGAGTCAATTATTCTTGTTATGTAACAGCAGACACTTGTTGATTGATGTGCAGTAAAGTGTTGGCAACCTGTGTGTTGCGATTCATTATTTTGAAGATTGAGGGTCAAAAATGCCGACGAAGTGAACGAACTTTAATGTTGATCTAGTTTTGAATGATGAAGCAGATCTCAAAGCTATTGTTATCTAATATTCTTTAAATATATTTTTATTTCTTTGTAGAGAAACAAATGTTTGAACAAAACATCATCGACGATGAAAATAAACGATGGTAGTTAATCAAATGATATTGATGGCGACCGGATGCAGGAAAATTCACAGAAATTATAGAACATAGATTCAGATACAATGAAAGTGGCGACAATTCATTTGGTATATTGACGAAAGTGCACGAATGAGGACATCAATAAGCCGCATGAGCTTGCGGAATTAGCAAGCAATCGCGTTAGATTCAAAAGTTTCGTAAACGCCCTACACTTCACAGTGGAGTAACAGGACATTATCATCAATAAGGCGTGTGTAAAGAATTCTCGATATCCTGGATTTATTCTTCTAAAATATAAGACTATTCAGGATAATGAAGAATTTTAAGTTCATTTCTGCATGTAGAATCTGAAAATTGATTGAGTTTGTCAGCTCTTTATTATATCACTTGAAGTATTTGAGTGTCCTGTGAGCGTACAAACATATGTCAAGCTCAACTCTAATGATTATCTTGGAAAGTTGTAAATTCAGCATCCTGCGAGAGAGTTTGGATAGTTTGTCAGTGAGCTGATGTTGATCTATTTTGATTATGATTGTTAATTGATCGGGATACGTCTTAACTACGAACTTGAAAGATGTAAAAATACTAGCTTCTCGCCGAAAATGTAATCTGTAGTCTTTTAAATGAGTTTCTAAGCCACATTTCGGGTTTTTGATTCAATAAAAGCACAATAATTGCAATGCCAGTGTGTGTACTTGAGTACCGAAGTAACATGAAGCCACCTAGACCTACTCAGCTCCATATCTCACTTAAAATAATTGTACATCATCATTGAATATCAAATCTATTGACATGTAAGAAGTTTTATTTAAAATTAAATTTTATTTCCATTTTTAATTATTATTATTTTTATGTTTTTAGTGTGGCTGATTAACTGATGCTATGAGCGAAATTGCAGAGAATCATAACAATAAGATGCATACTATAAAGCCGTTTGCTAATTACGTAACATCACGTTTAGAAGCTTTTCTATTTTTTAACAAAATTATTAGGAATGAAAATTTCATTTACCATCATGAGAACCTTTAAACTAAATCAATATTTAAAACCCTGACAACTGTTTTATAGGTGAATGACCCTCTTTAATTAGAAAGAATTTCCCAAAATAAATAAAATTAAAAAATTAAAACAAAAATAAATTTGGGCTCATTCACGTATGACGTCCGTCAAGAGTGTAGCCAGGAATTTGAAGAGGAGGTGACCAAAAAATTTAAGGGGGGGGGGGGGGGGGGGGGATTTCATAAAAACCCAAATCCCCTTTCCATTGGCTATGCACGCGTCCGTCGAATAACGTGATTCCTAGACCTCCCTTCCCACTTGTCACAAAATTTTCCTTGTTTGAGCTGTCATAAAATCCAATATCCCCCTCCCCCTAATTCTTGGACGTCATATGAGAACGACCCCTTTGTGCATTTTAAAGTTTTAAACACCATGAAGCATCATTCTGCTTCGATATAATTCACTTTAAATTCCCATTCTTCATAATCCTAATCCAATCCATGTCAAAATAAACCACCAATTAAAATCTCACTCACATCACATTCCATTTCATACAAGCACCGCAATTTCAACATATAAAATCCCACATCTTATTGTTCCATAGCGAATGCAATTGATTATCGTGCAATAAAAGCGAGAGTCAGGAAGCATAAAATATGTAACACATTAAACTGTCGCATATAAGTTCATTTCAGGTTTTTATTTTTATATTCATCTATCTATCCATTGAAACAGGTTTTACGCTTATTTATGTCGTACTAATTGACTAATCAACATTGCTCATTGCAGTTGAAATAGGTAAGAGTATAAATTGGTTATTATTGTGTACGCCAATTTAGGCTGAATTTCGACAGTCATTGTTGTGTAAAATGAGACATGATCATCGATGGATTAAAATAAAAATTGAAACTTTAATTTTTAATAACTTGTAATTTATTACGGACGAGAGTTTAGAATTATTTAAGTCATGGTCGTTCAGGGAGTGTCTATAGTAATGGAGTTATTTTATTAGTAAATTGATATTTTTTCATAATTTTGTAATTGCTGGAGAGAATTTTGTAATGTTTTATGGCATACCTGTGCAGTACGAGAGGAACCACAGGTACAAACCAATGGCACAATACTTGTCCGAGCGGACATTGAGGAGACATTTTATCAATTAAGACTGTATGGGGTCGTTCACTTATGACGTCCATCAAAAAACGTGATTTCTAGAACCCCTTACCCCCTCTGTCACAAAATTTCCTCCATTTGAGCTGTCACAAAATCCAAGACCCCCTCCCCCCTTAAATGTTGGACGTCATAAGTGAACGGCCTCTATTGTGTTGTGGTTTTTGATATTGTCAGGCTGCAGTTAATGATTATGTCAGTTGAATATGGCAATCATGTTCTTTTATGGATCATAAGTTAAAACAAAATGCTTTTAAGCAGACTCTGTTGCTGACTTTGTCACTTGGTTTGTTCAACTTGATGCTCGCACCTTAAGATGACATTCTTTCATCACTTTTCTACGGCTATTAGCTTTTGGAACTCCTAGACGTCTTTTCCTTTGCGGATACACTTGTGTTTCTGCCCCACCAATGATATTCATCAGCTACAACAGAATGTTCTCATTTAATCAAACTCATTTTCTCGTTGATGATTTAAATATTCGCTTTAATTATAGTCTAGTCTATAAATGACTCAGCAACTACTCAATTAGACATCTGAATTGACTAGAACTTCGATTAATCCTTATAAATATTCACATTCTGATCAGAATAGAAAGTTTATTGCCAGGCATTCAAAACAATTAAATTTTAACTTGATCTATTTAAAATGCTTAAGGGGTCATTCACTTATGACGTCCAACAAAAAACCTGTTTTTAGACCCCCCTCCCCCACTCTGTCACAAAAATTCTATAGAAAAATATTTCCATTGTTTGAACTGTCACAAAATCCTAGACCCCCCCTAAATGTCGGACGTCATAAGTGATCGGCCCCTAAAGCATAAAGCTTATTTCCTTCAACTATAAAATTTATTGACGCACCCAACATACAACAATTATCAATGACTAGACTATTTTTTATAAATAGAGCATTCTAAGCTGTTTCTGCAAACAGATAGAACAGGTTCTAATGTTCTCAATAAAAATTTCGCTATTTCAAAATCCTTGACATACCCAAAATATCATTTTGCATTACAATTAATGCTGTCAAATTAGCACAGCAAGTCATTCAATTTACACATAAATTAACGGAACCAAAAAAAATTGTCTTCAGCATCCAAATCAGAACTCATTAGCAAATGAAATAAGAAGCTATTAATTTTATTTTGGACGCCTTCGACCGTGTCAGCTCCAATTAGGAAATGTCATTGCATCACGTTGCTTAATTTACTTAATTTTCTCTGTTCGCATCACACTTGCCTATATTTTAAAGACAAGGAATTGAATTTGATTGCCCTTGAACTAAAGATTGCCGCATGTACACTTACACACCTAATAAGTTGTGTGACGAAATGTGCTGTTACAGATCAATGTTGTGCTGTAAAAGACAACGCGAAAGAGAGAAGAAAAAAAAAACATTATTTTCACTTTCAAGTAATTCCGTATTTTAATTCGTGCTACGGCACATGTACGTCTTTATGGGCTTGTTTTTGTTTACAAAGATTTATTTGTTGTAATTAATGAACTTGTTTTAATGTCTTTCTTCCTTCCTTCTTCGAATTGCTGCAATCATTATTATTTTCTGTAGATGGCGACAAGCGTGGATTCTGTTGAGGAAATTGGATGTGTCATGATTGTTGTGTAGATTGAAGCTTTTTTTTAAATTAAAACTTATAGATGCTGAATTCTCACAAAACTTGAATTGCTACAAAAATTCCCATTTCTACTCTCTAGATTAATTTTAAACAAAAAGCATTTAACACTGATTCTACAAAAAACTTAAAAGTTATTTCTCAATTCATAGATCAACTTCACTTTTGAAAACCTTTTTTTATTCCTCGAAGTAAAATTTAATTTATTCTCTGGATTTGTCTTTTCTTCTTTTTACGGAATGAATGGAAGAAATATAAAAATAGAAAAGGATTTTCATGGAAATGAAGACGAGAGAATAAATTCTTTTGTAAATAAGAACTAAGAAACCGGTTGACATTTAAAGTGTGGATGAAGTTTTTCATCAATCAAAGAGACTATTATATTTTATAGTTTGGGGGTGTAAAGATGTGGCCTAGCGATGGATAATTCTTTGGAAAGTTCACATTTTGAATATTTAATGAATGATTTGATGATGGTAGCTGGAGATCTCCCTATAACTGCTGTATGTGGATACTAATGTAAAACAAGTCGGGTTCGATGGGAATCGAACCCACGATGTCAAAAGAGGCGATCTTTGACCATTCGATCAGAGATCCCTGCCATTCGGTTACAGAAGTACTCATCTCACATTGGCTATCCGTCATATACATTTATTCAGTTTTACATTGATGCCTATGCTCAGGCCTATCTCCTACAGATATGCTCTTAGAGCCATATCTACAGGAGCCAGCGATAAAGCTAGCTTCATAAGGTTGTAATGTCGTGAGCATTGTGCGAATTCATGTCATATAGATAATATTCTATATTCAATATTCAATATTCTGAGATTCACCTATATATGGCACGATAACTCAGATTTCACTTTTCTTAGACACCACAAAGGTCGCAGACCGTAATCATGCATTTTTGATTTTTTTTATTACTAAATGATCTATTAGTACTAAAGTAGTAGTACTAAAGTTCACTCTATCATAGGTTCTATAAGAATCTCGATTCAAATCTCGTTTTCAATGATGTTTGTTGTTCAAAGTTGGACTAGATTTTGGGACCGGAGTCGGTTATGGTTCTCAAACTCATTGCTGCTGAATACGATATAGCTTTAGTTAACCAAAAGCTCAAGCGGTGAAATACCATCTGTGGTCGAAATGGTAGAGTGTTGGCCTTCTGTGCCAAAGGTCCTGGGTTCAATCCCAAGCCATGGCTAATTTTTAAAGCTCTTTTTCCATTTTTCACCGTTCTAGTTACGAAGCTCGGTTCATGTGTCAAAAACTCTCGGATAGAGAAGCTCCAGAAATGGCAAGAGCTTTTGTTAAACAAGAGACTTTTGAGACTTTGCAATCAAAAAATGATTTTCATTGTCCTTCCAATCCTTATCTCAGTTGGAAACTTTATTATTTGTGTGTTCTGTAAGAAAAGTAATAAAAGCTCAAAATTCCATTTTTTATCAGCAGATTTATTTATCACAATATCAACAAATGTTTATTTCCTCGCTATAAGAAATCTCTATTTACAATTGCATTTAATTCATTACTTTTTTCATTCTTTGACTTGAGTATTATTTTTTTTTTTGATTTTTTTTCTTCTTCATTTTTTTCTTGTTATCGAGAGAAAGGAATTACAGACATAGTAAGTAGGAAGGAGAGTAGGAACAGACAATAGTTGATGAAAATTGAAAATTGGAAATTAGGAAGGAGAAATGAATAAAACATGAAAGTGACAGATATAGATAGATTAGACACAAAAAGACAGTGACAAAAGTGCGGAAGGTTAGGATAGGAAAATGGAAGGCAATGATAGATTTATGGTTGGTCTTAGTGACGTAGCATGTGGCAACATACACTAATTGATGATTTAATGTGTTTTAAATGCATGACTTAATCATCATCGGTTAGTAAGCAACCAATAAACATTCAATTGTTAGATTTCTTAATTAATTCTCTCTCAAAATTTAACAAAAATTTGCTCCAAGTATGGTTGGTTCCTTGCGAGAATTTCATCAGAATTTTCGGGATTTTCTTCAGGAAGTTTGAGGAATTTTCAAAATTTTGGATAGAATAAATGATTCTAGGTTGGAATTCATAGGATTTGGATCTTAAGGTTGAGTTTCAAGAAAATCTGATGAAATTCGTGGCAAGGGGAGAATTTTTGTTTCAATCTCAAAAGTATCATCATCGTCAGTGTCCAAAAACAGGCACATCAAATGAGTCTAAAGTAAAATAAATTATAAAACTAAGAATAAAAGTAGAAAGTAGTAAAGTCTATACATGAGTATGTGTATATGCGTGAATAGGACGAGAAAATAAAAGAGCTTTTTAAAGTAAGAGGAATTTAAGACTTATTGAATGAGAATGAGTAACCATCAGGTGTACGGTTGAGGCTCAATTTACCAGGTGGGAAGAATCGGTTTGGACTTGGGGTTGTGTCAACATAATTTGGAGCTGGGACATTGTAATTTTGTTGACGTGGAGCTGGAGCGGGTTGTTGATTGTATTGGGGTTGGGGTTGTTGGTATTGAGGCTGTTGTTGTTGTTGTTGATAGTTATATGATTGTTGTGGAGCTGGTGCTGGTCTGTGGACTGGAGCTGGGGCAGCTTGTTGACGTCCATCTCCACGATATCCTGGATTGTTCCAACGTTCATCATATGAACCATCATCGAATTGGTCTGATGTATCATATTGATCTCTGTATGCTGGAGCATTTGAGTTTGGTTGATATTGTGGTTGAGGGGCAGCTTGTGGTGGTGCTGGTGGTGCGACTGGCAAATGATCTCCAGTAGCTTGGAATCTGTAAATGTCAAAATGAGTTAGAAAATGTTTTCAGGAAATGGAAAAGAGATTATGCAAAATATCTAGCTTTCACGCTCTGGATAATGCACGAGTGCGGTAGATTTTTAACAGTGTAAATTTATTGCTTGCTATCGTGTTGCACATTTATGGGCTACAACCATTAAACTAACAGCTACACAAAAAGCAATGCAGAAAAATAAAGTTAAGCAATGCCATTTTTATGCTTCATTACATTCCAACTTCTCTCGTTTATTTCTTGTTTTCATTTTCGTTTCAGGAAAAATAAAAAATTGTCGGTTGTGCATGAACAGCTTTAAGATATTTTAACAGCTCTCGCATAATTCGAAAACATTTCAGCATCATAATTAATTATCGCATCGCAATGACCCAGTACCAATGACATTCAGTGATAAACTTACCCATTTTTGCCGGCAACATATGAAACTTTACGAACTTGACCAGTTGGATCGACATAGCTGTATTCACCACGTCTGTTTCCTTGCTCGTCGGTTTCTTCTTTGAAGTCAGTTCCATCTTCTTGAGTATATGCGGCACCGAATTGTCCGTTACCACTTAAGTATCTCTGCTCGCTGATAATTGCGGCGTGCTTTGGATCTTTGTATTGTTGTGCGCCAGAGAGGGCCACGAGGGCAGTGAGAGCGATCTAGAGATGAGGGAAAATTGGGAGTTTAGCGATGAATTTTACAGTTTTGGAGATGATTGAAGAAAGTTGTGTGGAATAATTGGTTTAATTGAAGTTTGTGGTATGTTATTGACTAATGGCTATAACTTAGGCGAGGAAACAAAGTTCTACATCTTGGGTATGAAGATAATTAAGTTATGACTAGAAAAGGGGACTCCGAAGCTCTAGAATCTTTCCACAGATACCAAGAAACCAGTGCAACTTAAAAATTTTTTATTGATCTTAGATATAACAGCTTTTAGTAGCACATCATGGACATATGATTGTCATTGATATGATGTGCCACTTGGACTTAGATCTTGTAATCAAATGATTAATCATGCTTGGGAAACAGATTGACGATAGTGTTTGACTCATAGGATCCATTTAGGATTTATTAAGTGCTGTTAAATCTGTTATTACACTAAAATGGAATCCATATAAATCTGAACTCCATTTGTTTTTCAAATGGCTGTCAAAAGGAGCCACAATATAAATGACTGAGTTTATCAGTTGAAATCCATTGTCGTTGTTAATCCATATCAATCTTAGGTATGCTGTGTTAATCATTCAATTATGAGATCCATACATAATTTTTTTGCAAGCTTTTTAAAGCTTAATTTCAAACTTTATAGCCACTTTCATAGATTTTTTCTTTTTCTTCATTTTTAATTATTTTAAATTTTTTTTGTCACTTCCATGTCCATCAATTTTCCACAATGATATTAATCCAATTTAATTTTGACACTCACAAATCGGAACATGATGTATTCCTAATTTTATTTCTATATTAATAGATAAAGATAAAGATAAAGACTGTCGGTAAACTGCTTAATTCAGTAAGCCTTCACACACGAAAGAAAAAAATTAAAATATTTAAGACAAACGAAAGACTTTTGAGAATAGTTCGATCGAATAGGAAAGAAGGAACTGATTATATTTCGATCAAATTCATTCGTTTTTATAGGCTGCCCCCGAAAAAAAAGCTAGCTACATTATATGTATAGAGAGAAGAAAAAAAAAATTGTAGCAGAAACAAAGCATTGCATTTGAGGTAATTCCGATACATTTTTTTTGTGCTCACCCGCCTTCCACTACACAAGAGTGTAAATAACAATAATAAGCGACCGCATGAGTATGTGTGTAAAGTACATTTCAGCTATGAGAAGCAGTAAGAAAACCTTGGAAACAAGACAGACATGAATATTAGAGGTATTGGAAGAAAACTTGCCCAGGAATCAGCTGCTGTTGCTATTGCATGCCTTTTTGCGAGTTATATTAGAGCAGAGAAGTGGTTCAACAAGCATTTTTTTATTTGCTTTCATTTACCCGAGTTCTCATGCCTTATATGATCATTACCACATGCAATTCATGATGACGTAGAATTGGATAAATATTATTATCGAATAATTGAAGGTGATGTGAAATTGATTATGGTATTGAGTGCATTTTATTTTTATTGTGAACTTTCTTTTCAAATTGCTTTCGTCTTGTGAGGTGTTGCTTTTATTGTAGACGCTGCTTTTTGATTTGATTCTTCCTGGATTTTATTTTGTTGTAGTTTGTGATGTGATGGATTTTTTATGTTTTAATGTCAAATGGTGAATGCTTGTGGGGTCGTTTGCCAATGATGTTCAACTTTTAGTTAAAGGGGGGATATTATGAGCTGATACTGTTGTTATAAAAAAGGAGGGGTCATAAAATTCTAGATTGTTGATAAACATCATTTTATAAATGCCCAAAAATAACGTTGAAAATTGAATTTATCTGGAATAATTTAAAATGATCTGACTCATCATACATGTCATAGTTTACTAATTTGAATGTAGTCATTCAAAAATGACGTTTTTTAATTACAAGGGCGTAGCCAGCAGGGAAGAGGTTTGGGGTCAAGTTCCTGTTCTAGGAACAAAAGCGTGTCTAAAATTTTGTGGTAAATAAGTAAAAAGTTAATAAAAACATCATGAGATTAAAGCTGCAAATTCCATTTCTTCTAAGAGTAGCAATGGGGAACGGTACAATAGATTCTATCATCGATCAGGATCGCAGTGCCTCCGGCTCGTCGCAACGTGTAGTAACACATCGCTAGGCTAGAACTCTCTCACATTATTAAGAGTAGCAATGACAGCAATCTTACGAACATTAAACTTCCTCATTATTCAGATCTGCTTTGAAATGATAAGTTTACAATAATTTGGTCAGAACTGTGTCAGACGTATTGAAGATCTTCAATAGACGCTTCAGAATTAAAAAGATGTTCTTCAACTTAGTACAAATGATTCAATGTTAAGCTCACTGGATTATTGATTAAGCTATGTCGGTCGCGTTGTTTTTCATTTGCACTAGAGATTTCTGCATCATGCTTGGCTTTTGGCAAAAAAAAAAACCAAAATATTGAGCCCCTCTCCGTGCGAAACTGATCAAAATGATCAAAAATGAACAAAATTATCAAAAATGATCAAAATGTAATTTATCAGTTCCAAACCCTTGACCGCCCCCCCCCCCTTATAATCCAAGTTTTCTTTAAAATTTACCTTAAACTTTTTGATACGCTGTTAAACTATGTAAATCATTACTAATAGCTTGTACCTAATAGCTTGTACCCAAAGAAAAGCAAATACTGCTCAAGAGCAAGTTCCATCAGAGTTGCGTTCTGTCACAGGCAATCACCTGTCACTTACTTGCTAGGAGGCAGTGTTTGTGAAATCTGCCCACAGATATAACAGATCTGTGCCTGTGACAGGCGACCTCTATCGTAATTCTGGGTTCAATTCCTATAAAATTCTATTTCATTAAACTAAAAGTCATTTTCAAAGTCATCAATCATTAAAATTTAAATCCAAAAACCCACCAAAATAAAGTCTCAGACAAACCGTTCATTAAAAATTTTCATTTCACACAACTTAACCGACCATCGATTAAAACTTATGAAATTCGAAATTCCACAAAAAGTTTTCAAACATCAAGAAGCAATTATTCAAAAAGTACATGCGAACCATAAGAGTCAGTAGCGGGCGTAAATTGTCCATTTATAGAGATTAAAAATCCATAGCATACATATACGGTGATGATGAAATTGCAAAATTAAAGTGTCAGTGAGCCTCCTTTCTTCCCATTTAACTGCATACTTTCATGTGTGAATTATTAACACACATTTATTTTACATCTAATCGGAAAGTGCATGCACAATTCTAGTTCCTTTGCAGCCACAGCTTTGCATCACTAGATCATTGTCTGATGATAATTTTTCGTTGTTATTTAATCTGTGTTTGGGATATTGCAATGGTCTCTTGGGTGTGCTGTATGATGGTTAAGCACTAAATAATAAATGGTTGGTCTTTTATAATATTGTGGTGGATTTAAATGCTCTCGGACTGAATGTGAAACAGAAAATTTTTTGTGCTTTGGAATTATAAATTAAGCTGGTTATGCATAAATTGTGATCATGATGTGTGTGCATGGGATTTGTTTAGATGTACTTTACATGTTGTATTGGATAGAATAGTTTGTATTGGATTTTGTTGAGTTGGTTATGGACGTTTGGAGTTATTAGAATTTTTTGGTATGATTTTTAAGTTTTAAATGCTTCAAATTTAATTTTTTGCCGTTAAGCAGCCGTCTTGGTGCCATTTGTGCTCTTTTGTATGATCTGAAAAGATGAAAATGTTGTTTTGGTACACATCAGCATCATTCCCTACGTCTAGCTTAAGGTTGACATCTGCCTTATTCTATGCTTACCAAAGATACTTAAAGTTGGTTTCTAGCACTAATTTTGAGAGACACTATCCTAACCTCCTTGCAGTCAAGTGCACAAAAGTACGGTCCATCGGTCCAGCAGTAGATTGAGGTTGATGCCGAGAAATTTGACCCTTTGCAACTAAGTCGCAGCACTCTAACAAGACTTTTCTCCTGCATTGTCTGTCTTCAGAATCAAAAAGGTCATCAACTTGATTGAAAACCATCAAAAAGCATCCAGCAGACCAAATAATTTTACATCCCAACTCTTTTACATTCATCTTAATGAAACCCAAACCCTCAGACTTCTTAATCTATTTCCAAGAATGCTAATACAGACATCAACAAAAATTGGGATTGAACAAACAAAAGATAAACCTTCAAGAAATAAAGCAATTTGCTACTCAACATCATGAAGGTGTTACTTTATTGCTTCAAAACTTTCCGCAATAAATATTAAGCTGTCAGATCCCTTTTTGTCTTCTTTTATATAAACAAAAAAAAAAGCTTTCATGGATATGAGAATCGAGCTGAAATATTGCAAAGTTAATAAGTTAGTAGCCCATATGTGGAATTATAGTATCTTTTAGAAACAAAAGACTTTAATATAGATTGCTAGAGGAACAAAGGAGATGATGAAGTGTCGTCAAGGTTGGATTATGGATGTTGCATTTGTAGTATGGATTATGAGTTGTTGTGGATGAAAAATGCAATTAAAATTTTATGTTTTATGATGATTAAGGTGTCTTGTTGCTTGATTTGAAAATTGTCGCAAAAGTGGCGATAAACAAGCCAAGTTTCAACTCGAAATTCAAACTTGGACCGGCGTACTTCACACAGGCGCTTGATTTTATGTTTTTGAGGTGCATCTAGGTTTTATTTGAGAAGGAATAAGGGATGCGCTGTGTAGGAAGAAGTTGTTTGGTTTACAACGACTTTAAAGGCTTATAAAATTAGATTGCTCGGAAAAGATCATTAATTATGACCTCCAACTACCCGTTCTCTCATCTCTTGTAGACACATCCAATTTAAAGGCACTAAAACACCTCAAACATTGTCAAAATCATCCAAAAGAGCAAACAAAATAATCCATAATGTAGCAAACAACTAAAAGCATAAAACAAACTTGATAAATTGCACTTTTACGATCTAGATTAATAGCCGAATCAGCTATGAGATTAAAGAAGAATGCAGACACTTCAATAGAAAATGAATCTAAAGCTTTTCATTGCCAACAATAACCAAAGAAAATTTGAGCATGTGGAAAAATTTATGAACCTTTTTATGGCTCACAACACTCATCACTCTGCATGACAATGGACTTTTTTTTATTATTTTTATTGGAAAAGAGGAAATTAGGTGGAAGAAGGGAAAAGTAAATGTCATTCGATTCATATTTCATTACTGAAATTTATGGTTAAATAATTTGATCAATCGATCCATTATCTGAACTGTTACATGAATGATGAATCAACTTGCTTTTGGAATAAATGATAGATAATTTTTATTTTTTTTGATATCTGCTAATTCTTTTTATTTATAACAGTGTTGTACATGTTGAGCCACGGTACACCTTAGGGGTAAGTCATGACTAAAGTCGCACACAACATGCGGTTTATGTTATTTCTAAACAATTTTTGTGGCACACCAGTGTGCCACGGCACACAGTTTGGATAACATTGATTTATAACATTGATATAGGCTTCGAAGCTGTATTAGCTGCTATTAATGATAATATCAAAAATTATGTTCAAAACGGATTAATTGTATAAGTTGTCATTCTGTTAAGCTTCTTGTCAACTCTTCTTGGTTCATTTGGAATAGAATTTGACTGAAAATCTTATGGAACCTTAAGAATATGCGTTCAAATCCCAGAATTAAAAGTTTTTTAATTCATTAAACATAACCACAGAGTTGTGATCTGTCACAGGCAACCTGTCACTTATCTGCTCACAATTATAATAGATATGTACCTGTGACAAGCAAAAGATACAGACAATATCTGTGACAGATCTGTCATCTCTCCTTGACTCTGATTGAGTAGATTGGATCTCTTACTTGTCTTGAAACAATTCTGTGGCTAGTTTCTAAGACTACAAACCAATCAATCACTTCAATTGAACTGAAGATTAGAAACTGATTTCTTAGGCCGGTTTCTAGAGCTTCCCAGAGTACCCTACCCTATTCTGAGATCAATTTTAT